AAAGGGAAAAGGGAAAAGGGAAAAGCAAGGCCAACATCTTTTCATTCAAGCGCATAACTAGGCTCAGGTTTGTTTTTTCGAATTTTATAATTGGCTTTTGTTTATTGCAAATTGCGTAAATACTCAATTGTTGGGAAAAAGACAAACAATTTCAATTAATTAACTAATTAAATATGCGTATTAGTGGTTGGATGTGTATAGTGTGTTGAAATTGTATTCATGCATGGTGTGTTTTCAAAAAATGTGCAACCCTAGATCTGCTTTGCTTGTTGTGTTTAAGGTGGTACTTAGATTCTAGTTTATGTGATTGGTTGTTCAGGTTTAATTGCCCAATTGAAGTGTTGAAAATGTCAAAGCCAATTAACATAAGACTATATTATGGTGGTAATTTTGTGACTAGAAAGGGGAAAACTACTTATGAGTATGGTGATAGTGATTTTTATGGTTTAGCTTTGCACCCTAATGTTGAGGAAGTGTGTTACTTTGAATTTGTTTACTAGGTTAAGAAGGAATTAGGGTACACTGAAATGGGTGAGTTATGGTTTAGGAAGTATGGGTATAGCTTATTCACAGGGAGGGAGAGGTTGAAAGATGATAAGGACATACCAGAGTTCTTGTGTGCACCTGAGAAAGATGGGTGGTATCATTTGTATTTGATACATGTGCCTAAATTTGTAGACAACATGAGTGCTATATATGGTCCAGGTGTGGGATTTTATACAGATACAGAATCTGAGGGGGGGTCTACATCATTAGGTAGTTATATATCTGGTGACTCACTTGCCACATCATTGGATAAGGAAGGGGGTTTTGTTGGGGGTGGGTCACAATCAGCTGAAACTGATGACATGGGACATAAAAAGAGTGGATTATAGGAGGGAGCACATGCTATTGAATGCAGGAACCCTAGATCTGGAAATATAAGCCCCCTTGTTCCCATTTCTTCCCACAGCCTTGTCTTCAACAGGACTGAAACTGCTTCCTCTCAATTGATAAACACACCCAGCCCTTCTTCAACCTAGAACCCCAAAAAAAAGTGGAAGTTGGTCCTCAAATACAGTCAACAACCACCTGCTTCTCTTGAAACCATTGCAGAAGTAGCTGAAGAAAACCTTGTTGTTCACACTGAGGAGGATGAGGATTATGATGTTGTTTTGAGTGATCTTGATTTTGAAGATGACAGTGATGATGACTTGTTTTCTGCCAATGTTGATGAGGATATAACTGAAGATGTGAATAGAAGTTTGGTGGGTATACACACTAGGCAGCAGAACAGTCATAGAGGTGAGGGTGAGGGTCAGGGTGAAGTGCAAGTTGAAGATGATGATGACTTGAATGATAGTGAGGATGAGTTGGATAGTGCAGCTGGTTCAGATGATGATGAAGTTAGGTTCCCTGTTTTTAACCCTGATGTTGACTTCAAGAGTAAGATTAACCTCACTGTTGGGTTAAAGTTTGCTTCAAATGTGTTTTTTAGAAAGGCATTAAGACACCATGCAATAGAGAATGGATACAGTTACATATTTTTGCACAACAAGAAGAAGAGGATAACTGTGTTCTGTAATAAAAGGTGTGCATGTAATTTTGTTTCTGGAAAAATTTATGCATGTGATTGTCCAATTAGAAGGAAGTGTCTGTTTAGAGTACATGCTAGGAAATTGAAAGATGAGGAGACTTTTCAAATTAAAAGTCTTATGCTAAAACATAAGTGTGGGCACCAGCATATAAATACAAATGTTACTAGTGCATATCTGGCTGAGAGATATCTGGAGGATTGGAGGGATGACCCCACATACAAAATGAGTGCTTCTATGAAGAGAGTAAGAAGAGAACTAGGTGTAGAAGTTGGGTATTATAAGTGTTATTATGCAAAAAATTGGCTTTGCAAATGATTCATGGGAATGCAGCAGAGGAATACAACAGAGTGTGGGATTATGTTGAAGCAATAAGGAGGTGGATTCCAGGTAGCACTGCAATTGTGAAGCTACAGGGGATGGACAACCCTTCACCAATTTTTCAGAGAATGTACATTTGCTTGCAACCATGTAAAGAGGGCTTCAAGGCTGGTTGCAGGTCCATTTTAGGTGTGGATGGGTGACATCTTAAGGGACCTTGGCCTGGGATTTTGCTTACTGCTGTTGCTAAAGATGGGAACAACAATATTTTCCCAGTTGCTTAGGCAGTTGTAGAAACAGAGAACTCAGAAACTTGGACTTGGTTTCTTGAGTTGTTGGTGGGTGACTTAGGCTCTGTTGCTGCATCAGTGACTTGGGTGCATGAGCATGAAGATCCAGTAACCTTCATGAGTGACAGACAGAAGGTACATTCTATGCTGTACTACATTTGCTTTCTTCATTTACTACAAGTCAATGACATTGTTCTTTGATTGTAATTTCAGGGCCTGCTTGATGCATTCAACACTGTTATCCCAAATGCTGAAACAAGATTTTGTTGCAGACATATTTGGGCAAATTTTAAGCTGAAATTCCCAGGGCAGATATACAAAGATAGCTTTTGGAAGGCTACAAGGAGTTCTACTAAGGTATGACTGATTTACTACATCATCCACCATTGAGAGATACAAACATAGCTTCTGTAAACATTTACTCATGTGATACATTTTTGCATGCAGCATCAATTTGACAAACATATGCAAGAGATTAGGGAGTTAAGTGAGGATGCTTTTCAATATCTGTCTGAGATACCAGTTTGTCATTGGTCTAGACATGGCTTTAGTCCTAGGGCAAAGTCAGGGATGCTGCTCAACAACTGCTGTGAAAGCTTCAATAATGTCCTCAGGGAAGCTAGGACAAAGCCAATATTGTCTTTAATGGAGTGGATCAGAAGATATGTCATGAAAAGAAGTTGTGCTAAGAGAGAAGGCTTGAAAGATTTTGAAGATTTAATCATGCCATCTGTGGTGAAGATGATTGAGAGAGGGCAGAAACAGATTTGGAACATGAGGATCATTCAAGCTGATTTGCATGAATTTGAAGTGGGTGATGAACAAGATAGATTTGTTGTTAATCTTGAACAAAAGACTTGTGGATGCTATAGGTGGACTTTGATGGGTATCCCATGTTGGCATGCATTAGCTTGCATAGCCAAAAGAAGACTCAATCATGAAGATTTTGTACACCCAGCCTATCATATTACCACTTATGCTGCTACTTATGCTCCAGCTTTTCGTGCAATGCCAGGACATAACCAATGGGAAAGGTCTGCTATGCCTCAGCCTTTGCCCCCTGTTTACAGAGCCATGCCAGGTAGACCTTCTAAAAAGAAAAGAAAGAAGGCACAGGGAGAGGAAACAGGGAAGACAGTGAAGAGAGCAAGGAAGCCAAACACATGTGGCAGATGTGGTGGCAAAGGGTACAACTCCAAGAAGTGTTTCAGGCCTCTTAAACCACCACCTCCTGAAAACAAAGGTGGAAGGCCTAGGAAGCAAAAAGGGGTAGCAACCTCAACAGCAGGACAGCAACAATCACAGTCACTGTCACAAGCTCCACCTCTGTCTCAGGCATCAACTCAACCTTCCCAGCCTACTGCATCTGCATCAACTCATCAAGCAAAAGGAAAACAGAAGGTCCCTGCTGCTAAGTTCAGGAAGAAGAAGACCACATCCATCAGTAGGATACTCCAGGGATCAGTTTCTAAGTCTTAGTTCTGATAGGTTACATTAGATTTCCTGTTTAGTATGTGATTTATGTTTAACTCACTGTTAAGGTTTTGTATGAACATGTTTAACATCATTTTGGAACTTAGGTAGCATTTTGGAACTTATGTGTTGTATTTTGAATGCTTTGGAATGAATTGAACAAGAATATGGAAGCATTTTAGTTGCAAATATGTGTCCAAATTACTTTTTCATTCATAACAATAAAAACCAAATTGGTTCATTACAAATTTCCCACTAGCACATCATGCCTAAACAACTAATACATCCTTGGACCAAACAGTTTTACTACTATTGCACTAGCCAACACTAATACAATTGCACACAAAGCCACCAAAATACACAACTGATCATTACTAATCACACCATGAACAACCCTGTTTGCAGTTGGATTTCCTGGCATTTGCTGAGTGAGTCTTCTGTTTTCTTGCTCCAAAGATGTCACTCTTGCCTTCAGGATGTGTTTCTCAGCCAACAACACATTAATCACATCCTTCTGCCGATCAACCATGTCAGTGTCAAACCACTTGAAATAATCACACCCACTCTGCATTGTTTCAAAATCAAAGAACTTGCAACACCAAAATCTTCTTCCTGGGTTTTCATGGGTCCACGATGTTCTTTTGACAACAGGAAATCCGCAATTACACATCTTCATGAATGCGCAACTATAATTAAGAATAAAGAAAGATAAATTTCAATTTGAAAAATTAAACTTGAATTGGCAGTGGGTTTGTCACCTTACCTTGTTCAACTTGCGTTCAATTGCTTCAATTCGCCTTCAATTGCTTCAATTCGCGTTCAATTGCAATTTCTGGGTTACAAATTGCAACCACGTTCGCAATTTAGGGTTCAAAAAGGGAAAAAATGCTTGAAAAAGGGGAAAACGAGGAAGAAGAAGGAAAGGAGAAAAAAGAAAAGAAAAAAAAATTTAAAAAGAAGTTACGTGCAACGCACGTGATTTTTTTTTGCCTGAATTCAAAAGTCAATGCCGGAATTTGGCCGGAATTGGGTCAAAGGCCCCTCTACACAACCAAACTCACTTATAAGGACCTTTAGTGCCACTTTTTTTTTATAAGGACCTTTGTGACAAGAGAGTCACTTTAAAAGGACCTTTGTCACAATTTTTCCTTAAATAAATTGTTGAAGCTAAGTATATGCTTACGAGTTTTAAAAACAATAATCAAGCACTTTGGCAGATATCATAGCAAATATTTGCACAAAAAAAAAAAGAAAAAAAAAGGAAGATATCCTAGCAAATATTTCAGCACATATATTGAAATTGTTTTATAAACAAAATATAACAATCATAGAAAGTGAATAAATGGCGGACAACGAAAACTCTCATATTGAAGAAGTCAAGGAAAAACCCCTCCTTATTATCCACCGTTTACCCTCCTTTACATGCTTCTTCCATCACCGCCTCGCAACCCATTTCACTCTCCTTGACCCAACTGCTACCGTGGGCACTGACACCTCCGCCGTCCAATCTTATTTAAGGTCCGACGGTAGTGGTGCACGTGCTCTCGTCTGCGTATGGGCCTCTCCATTAAGGAAAGACACCTTAGATTGCCTTCCTTCCTTGGAGCTTGTGGTGGTTGCTTGCGCAGGCTACAACCATATCGATCTTTCCGAATGCCGCCGTCGAGGGATCCGTGTTGCAAATGTTGGTGACGTATTCTCCGACGATGTCGCAGATTATACTGTTGGAATTCTCCTTGATGTGGTCCGTAAGTTTTCTGCTGCCGACCGATTTGTTCGGGTCGGGTTTTGGCCTCAACCAGGGGAATTCCCTCTTGGCTCTAGTGTGAGTGGTCTTCCTTTTTCTTAGCTTTCATTCTTATGATTTTCAATTTTTCATGATCTGCTGCTTACTATTTTTAGTACTTTGTTTTATTTTTATTAATTCTAATTTAGAACAACAACATCTGATATGATGATGGCACTATTTGACAAAGAGAGGTTGACTATTAGCTATTTAGTTTAACTAGCTGATTAAATTGATTGGTTTAACTATTTATATTAATAGTTTGTATTAAACTGTTTGGTAAATATAAAAAGACTACTAAGGCTATATGCATTATACAATTATTATTTTCTAGCTTGAACATTTTTTATTTTAACAAATTATCTTGAACAAATTTGGTAAAAGGTACTCCGTAGTAAAGTAGATCAAAGAAGAAAAAAAAAATAAAGAATTATGTCATCTCAAGTACCACATTGTTTTTCAAAATCATCTTTTAGTTTTAGACAATTAGACTCAAAACTCTCTTAAACATCATAAAACCAAACGCTCACATACGAGGTTGATCCAAACCTGTCCTAACCAAATGCCCCTGAAATTAAAGACTGGTAATTTTTTTTTTTTTTAAATAATCATTTTTTTATAATAATTTTTATTAATAAAAAGTCATACCACATTTACAAATGAAATCTAAAATTACTAAATACATAAAAACAAATAAAACAAAAGTTTTCTGTATTGAAGCCACGATCGTTTGATATATGTTGCACTTTTGTACAACTCTCGCATGCATTGTTGGAATATACAACCTTTTCGCAGGGACGATCCATCTAACTATTTTTTGTAGCCAAGATAGAGATTAAATTTCATTTCATTTTATAAAGGTATTTGAAAACTTGACAATCTTTGTATCCCGTACGATTCTTTACCAACAAATTAGTAGGGAAAGTGAATACGTATCCTGGATGTGAAGGAGGAGGAAGTGTTGATTTTGTGATATGTTTATTGCCTCAACAAATGGCTGTTCTTGAATCTGACCCAGAGTTCATGGATTTTGTTTCTCTTACCATCTAATCAACAATAATCTCTTACCAAATGAGGTGACTAGTACCATAGTGCAGCAGGTGAACTGCTTAGCCAAACTTAGCTTGTTGCACTTGCTAATGTTGTGGTCCGTTTTATTATTCTTTACATGAGAAAAAAAAAATAAACATGTCTTTTCTTTTCGTTTTTTTTTTTTATTTAATTTGTTCCAATTAATAATGTGCTTTTTATATACGTTAACCATTGATCACAAGTCAGCAAAGTCATGCTCAGAATACAACTTCCTGATTGTGATTATATAAGATTTATCACAAAATGTAGATGATTCTTAGGTATTTATTTCCTAATTGTTTCTACCATACTTTTTTTTTAATTAATTTAAATCGAAGTTAAACCAAATTTAGAGGCCTCCTAGCTCAAGGAAGACCAAAAGCTAAAACTATTCACGAAAGAAAAGCATAGAAATTATAACAAGCTTCATTCCAATCCTACGGAAATGATACAAAGAAAATCTATCTATATATATACTATACTAAAAGACAAGTGAATCAATGTGAGACTGACAAATGTCGTTCTATGATTCGCTGTCTTATATTAATTTTATATTATATTATATATTTATATTTATATATCCGTATAAAAAAGAATATTCTATGTATTCTATTCTAGACAACTACGTAAAATATTATGAAAAAATCAAAAAAAGTATACTTGCAGTTAAAAAATCTTAAAAGGTAATTTATGTTAATATTTATAAGGCAAAGCAATTGGAAATAATGGACGGTGTATGTATAGAATATGGCATACAACATAATTTATTAAAAGTAATTATTCTATATATAAATTAAGGGTGTGTATTTCTAAGGTAATTTATTCATTAATATTTATATGTACAAAATTTTAATATAACGAATTTACTTTAATTTTTTTAAAAGATAATGGAGATATATATAATATTCTATCACATATATCATACAAAAATACGACAAAATAAATAATAGTTAACCTATTAAAATCAAATCATAATATTCAAATAATAAAATAAGCTATAATATTTTTTGTATTATCATCCGTATACTACATTAAGGTTAATATAAATAATAGCCATAGTGAAAGTGAGGGATAGCTCATGTTGTTAGAGCACCACTCACCACTCACATTTCACTCATTTTAAATTTTTTTTTTGGAACAATTGAAATTAATAATCCCATCTTTGCTCGATCTTCCCAAAACAATCCCACCTTTGAATATTCTCAAAATAATCCCACGTTTGACATCAATCTTCTTTTAATAGGCCAAGACCGGTTTGATAAGTTAATAACTTGCTAGAGAAGGTAAGTTATCACGTGTTGAGTTCCTATTGGACAAATTCTAAAAAAAAAAAGGAAAAAAAAAAAAAAAAACCTCTTTCCCTCTTCCTTTGCCCCACCTCCTCAGTCCTCCCTTGGCTTACTTAATGCAGCTTCTTGGTGTTTATGTGTTTAGGAGGGAGTAGTGGGTTGGGCAAGGGGGCATTGTTGTTAGTGGTGGGTGCGATTAGCAACGAGGGAGAGTTGATGTACGGGTTGGGTGGGTGGAGTTGTGGTTGGCTGGACGTGGGTCTTTGTGGGTGGGATTATGTGTGGGTTTGGAGGAGGGGTGGTGGGCAGTGGTAGACTGGTCGGAAGAACGAGGTGAGGAGGTTTTCAAAATTTCGAGTGGGTCTCCTATGGTGGCGATGGTGAGCAAGTGAAGGCAATGGAAATTGTTGCACACTTAATAAAAAAAAAAAAAATCATTGTTCTAAAAATTACTCCGTAAAAGTAGCTAAGAACTGAAACACTGAAACAGCAAAGCAGATCATGAAAACCAAAAGAAAACTAGTCGTAAGAAATAGGGATGGAGTCTACTCAGTACTCCCCTGGTCGAGGCCAAATCCCGCTGCGAACAAATCGGTTCGCGGCAGAAAACTTACGGAGCACATCAAGGAGCAGTCCGACAGTATAATCAGCTACATCATCGGAGAATACGTCACCAACATTAGCAACAAGGATACCTCGACGGCGGCACTCTGAAAGATCAATATGGTTGTAGCCTGCTGCACAAGCAACCACAACAAGCTCCAAAGAGGGAAGGGAATCTAAGATGTACTTCCTTAGCGGAGATGCCCATATGCAGACAAGAGCGCGTGCACCACTACCATTGGTCCTCAAGTAAGATTGGATGGTGGAGGACACTACAAGAAAAAGGCCAGATTCCGACGGAAATCTTCCGACGGACACAAAATTCCGTTGGAAATGCTATAAATTCCGGCGGATTTATATTCCCTCGGAAATTTCCTACGGACTACAAATCCGTCGGAATATATGGGCATTCCGACGGAATTATTCGTCGGAAAATGTATATTCTGACGGAAACAAAATCCGTCGGAAGTTTCCGACGGAATATTCCGTCGAAACATTAATTTTCTGACAGAATTAAAATCCGTCGGAAATTTCCGACGGAATATCCCGTCGGAAATAATTAAATAAAAAAAAACAAACCCTTTAAATAATAAAAAAAAAACTCTCTTTAAAACCTAAGAAAACCCTAACCCATACACTCTTTCTCTCTCCCCGCCTCCCTTCTCTTTCTCTCTCCTCTCTTCTTTCCTCTTCCCCTCTTTCTTCTTCCTTTCCTCCTTCCTTTCCTCCCTTCTCCTTTGAATTTCCAGCGCACGCAACCTTCCTCTTCCCTTCTTTCTCCTTCCTCTCCTCTTCCCTGTTTCTCTTTCCTCTTCCCCTCTTTCTTTTTTTTCGTTTTCTTTGGCAATCAAAGATAATTTCAAGAAATTCAACGGCAACTCATGAAATTCTAGAGTTTTCATGGTCGAATTTGACCTTATAAACCCAATTTTGACGTTTTTTTTTTTCAAATTAAGGTATGTTTCTCTTTTTTTTTTCTTCTAAATTTTGATTTTAATTAATTTGTTGAATTTTCTGGTTTTTTTGCAATATATGGTGTTGGTGAAGTATGGATGTTTTTTATGTTTTTTTTTTTTGTGTTTTTGGTGGTTGTTTCGGTGGTGGTGAGGTGGGTTTCGGTGTTCTTTTGGGTGGTTTCAGTTAGGTGAGTTTCGGTGTGGGGAGGTGGGTTAAGGTGGTAGTTGGGGAGGTGGGTGGGTGGGTCTGGTGAGGTGGTGGAGGGGCTGGGCGATGGAGGCAGTGGGTTAAGGTGGTAGGTGGGGTTGTGGGTTTCGGTGAGGTGGGCTGGGGGATGGGGGCAGTGGGTTAAGGTGGTAGGTGGGGTTGTGGGTTTCGGTGAGGTAGGGAGGGCGAAGGGTCAGGTGGGCTGGTGGTAGGGGGCTGGTGTGGGGTGGGCTGCTGGTAGGAGGCTAGTGGCGTGGGCTGGTGGTGGGTCAGGTGAGAGGGGGGGCAGGTGGTAGGGGGCTGGTGTGGGGTGGGCTGGTGGTGGGTCAGGTGAGGTGGGTTAAGGTGGTAGGGGGGCAGGTGGTGTAGGCCGGTGGTAGGGGGGCGCGCTGGTGGTGTGTGCTGGTGGCAGGGGGCTGGTGGGGGGGTGGCTTTTTTTTTAATTTTTTTTATTCAATTTTCCGACGGAATTCCCCTTCTTACGGAATATTCCGTCGAAATCCACTTCAGCTCCGACGGAAAATTCCGTCAGAACTTTGCGACGGAATTTCGGTTAAAGTCAAAACCAGCTTCGACATAATGTATTCCGTCGGAAATTCCGTCGGGAAAGTGGCTTCCGATGGAATTTTCCTCGGAAAACGTTGAATTTCCGACAAGGGCTGTTCCGAGAGACCGTTTCCGAAGGAATTCCGTCGGTATGCCGTTTTCCGACGGATTTTCCCCTGTTTTCGACGGAAAAATAAAGTCCGTCGAAATTCAGCTGTTTTCTTGTAGTGGGAGTCCGTGCCAACGGCGGCAATGGGCTCTAGGAGAGTGAAATTGGTGGCTAGGCGGTGGTGGAAGAAGTATGTGTAGGAGGTTATACGGTGGATAATGAGGAGGGGTTTCTCCTTCACTAGTTGAATGTGAGAGTGGGAGATTATGGTGTCCGACATA